GGGGGGGGTGTGGTACTCCTGAGGTAGGTTTGAAAACCATAGTCCGAAACTTATCTGGAAATTCCTCTTATTTCACAAACCGTACTTACATTCTCTTCTCAACTTTCCAGAAATCAGTTCTCAACTACCTTGAAATTTACACTACGTACTGTTGAGAACTAGTGTCCATAATTCACCATTTTCAAACCTCTGATTATATATATTAAATATAGACATGTGCTTAGATATTTAGTTAATTCATTAATCACGCCGAAACTCAATTAACCAACCATTCCATTCCAATACTATAATAATAATCTTAAACGTAATAGATAACTAAATAAATAAATAATAAACAAATAATTAAATGACAACTACCCTTAGAAATAAGCATGGTCATCAATTTATCAAAAATAACCTTTAGAAATACCATAAAATACTATAACCTAAGCTCAAACGTTGAAATAATAGAAATATTCACAATTAACAATCTATATATATATAGCTACATCGGAAGACTCACGGTCAACTGAAGGGTCAAACTATCCCAAACTTGGTCAACCGGGCTCGCGGGGCCCACGACCTCCGATCACCAATATGGGAGTTCCTATAGGTTCAACATACTTTTCTAAACCTACTCTGCAAGTTTGGTCCAAATCGAACGGTTGAATCACTCACAATCGTACGATTGGACGATTACTGTAAAACACAAACTTTAACTTATTGAATCGGAACATTCGGGGCTCCGATTCACGATCCGCGAAATCCTACACGATCCTAGGAATACCTAGATCAACATATTCTAAATTGGGGTAGATCCAATGGCCCAAACATATCGAACCCGGATAACGCCTAATATGCAATATCCGATCGACGATCAAACGATCAAACAATATCCAAATTCATATCCGAGCATACCGTCGTGCTCGGGACGACATGAGGAGTATTTTAGGACTCAAGGACTGGCCCAAAAGTGGCCCATGGGCTGCCACACACGCTGACAGCGTGTGGGTGACCAAAGCGATTCCGGCCATCGGAAAATCTCCAAACTGCCGGTCAAGACTTATACCTACATGATCACCACATAGAGTGGAGCAACTTTTGTTATTGGACCTACCCCAAAAAGTCGACAGAAGTGGCCGAAATCGGAGGCTGAAAACCTGCAGATTTTCAATCGCTTAATTAACCCTCTAAACGCAGAAATTTCTCCTATCCAACACAACCAGCAGCTAGAACACCTCGAGAGGTTGAGAAAGCATACCTGGATTGACGGAAATGGTGGCCGGAGGTGGAAGAACGAGCGGCTGAAAGTTTCTGAAAAATTCGGCCAGATTTTTGCACTTTCTGGCTTAAGCCGGCGGTGCTAGCAACTGGGTCCAAGGGGAAGGGAGAGAGAAGGTGGCGGCGGTTCGTTCCCTTCC